TTTTATTTATTATTATTTTTTATTTTATGTGTACGTGTGTATTGCCTGCATGTAGGTAAGTGCACCCGTGTCGTGCAATGCCCATGGAAGTCAGAAAGGCTGTCGGATTCCCTGGGACTGCAGTTACGGACAGTTCTTAGCTGACATGTGGGTGCTTGGATTCAAACCTGGGTCTTCTGCAAGAACAACCAGTGTTCTTAACCACTGAGCCATCTCTTCAGCCCCAGGAAGCTATTCTTTAAACCAATTTCTGTTCTATGAAAAGCAAAATCCATGTTGTAGATTCTTCTAGAAACTCCTACACTTCCCAGCAATTGAAAGCCAGGTGTGATAAGTTTTAAAGCTTGAGAATAATGCTAGAGATAAACACCCACAGCACAGAGAGGCAAACCTGTGGCGGTCATAAAGGCACAGTCTGCAATCTCTCTTGTTTTTGACCCCAGAGTCCCAAACATGCTCAGACAATTGTGTCCACAGAATTGAGGCTGGGTCCTTGGTCTCACACTTCTTTGCTCCGTGGTCTTGGGCAAGCCTCTTAAACCTCTTAGCTTCCATTTCTTCCCTGGAAAACTGTCAGTAAGGGTTATGATGAGTGGATAATACTCAACTTGAAATTTGTTGTTAAAATAATGGGCTTGAGCTTAGCTCAGTGGCTAAGAGCATTGGCTGCTTTTGCAGAGGACCCATCTATAACTCCAGTTCCAGGGGATACTATATCCCCTTCTGACCTCCATGGGCATTGCACGTCACAATGGCTTACATATAAGCAGGCAATACACTCATACACATAAAGTAAAAATAATAAATAGAAGAGAAATAATATAAAATGACAGGAAAGTGCTTAATGAAGTGAGCAGTGTAACACAGTTCTAAAGTACTCTTTATCTCTCTCTGGCAAAGTGATATATGTAAGCACATTTACAATGTGCAGTCTGAAAGTCTGGGTTTGATCTTTCTCTCTAATTCTGAGCCTGGTGAACTTCCACAAGTCTTTCAACTCTGACTTTCATTTACTCATCTCATCTATAAAATGGGCTAGTTGTGCAAGGTATGAAGGCATGGTCTGTAATCGTAGCATGCAGTGGACGAGGCTGAGGTTCAAGGCTCTCTTGGGCTGTACAGGGACAAGTACAAGTTGTTGTTTTCTCCAAACAACATCAATGATAAAAACCCCAAACAAAGCCAAAACCAAATTAAAGTTTAATAAAACACTGTGTGACACAGTTCTATAACAAATGTCAGTTACTGTGAACATTAGCTTTAATAAACCTTTTAACTACTAGCTGATAAATCCCCATTTTACTTTCCTATAAATTGTACTCCATCCCACCTCAAGTTATGCACACTAGTTACTTTTTAAATTATTGATGGGTTCTACTTTAGTCTCCTTACCAAAACAGTTTCCTTGTAACACTTAATGGCTACCTGCAGACTTAATGAAATTCTTACAGTGCTTTTTTCTTCATAACACCTCCAAAGAAATCTCTGTGAAGAATTAGTCCTTTGCTCAGCTTCTTTCTGCAGACCTCTGAAGGTGCAGAAAGCCAATGTTCAGGGGCTTCTCTCCACTCCTTCTACAGAGATCCTCAGCACTGATTGCTTTGGCTGCCACGTGCATCAGCTCACCCCTCATGTTTCCCTCTGGCCTTGGCCTTTCTAACTCATTCCAGTGTCCTATTACCGACTATATCTAGCACCAGTTCATATTCATCTAAAATAAATCACTATTTTTTTGCAGGCTGGAGATGGACCCAAGGCTTTTCACATGCTAGGGAAGTGCTCTGTCCCTGACTTGTACCCTTAATCCTTGGTTTTGTTGAGATGGGGGTCTTAGCATGTAGCTCAGGCTGGACTGGAACTCACTATGTAGCCCAGACTGGCCTGAAACTCTGGATCCTCCTGATTCTGCCTCTTGGGTGCTGGAATTGTAGGTGTGCATCAGCATAAAAGTCACTTCTTCAAAAGCAACTGTTCTACTAAGTGATGTCACATTAAATTGGATAATGATTAATATATTACTCTGTTTCAGAGCTGTGAGCAATTTTCCACAGTAACTTTAGAAAGCCTGCACCTGTGATAACATGGTCTGTGGCAATCTGAGTCCTACTCAGCTGTCTAATGTTATAGGTCGGTAGTTTCTCTGTAAAAATACCCTACTTGTCAAACTTTTCTCCTCAGTCTTCCCAAATAAGCAGAGTGCATTTCCATACCTATGTGATTGCCTATACTTTTTCCCTTGGGTTAATTTCCAGCTGTGTGTGTGTGTGTGTGTGTGTGTGTGTGTGTGTGTGTGTGTGTGTATTTA